CGACGCAGTCGTCCACACACACACACACATCCTAACCAGGGATTTGCAACGGCATTCAGAGATTAATGAACTTGTGGAATATAGTGACGGCAGGGAAACGCCCTACCTGCCGCAGTTAGATTTTAAACTGTTCCAAGCAGTGATACAACAGAACAAATGAACTGATGCCAGTAAGACACGGAGCATCTAGTCTAGTGGAAGTGCTTCTGCTCTTCAGTGAAAGTCTGTGGGTTCGATTCCCGCACCGCGCATTTATTTTCCGGAAGAGGCTGGCTGGCTTGGGAAGGGGAAAAAGCCTCACTGCGGCAGTTAGGGCTCGTTTTGGGCAGGGAAAAAAGCCTGACTGCAGCAGGGAAAAAACTAACTGCAGCAGCTAGGGCTGTTTTGGTGCTGGATGGGCTCTGGGCTGGGGTGGGGAAGGAAAAACACCTAACTGCGGCAGTTAGGGCTCTTTTGGGCTGGCGTGGGCTGGCCCAGCCTGGGGCGCTGGGGGCTGGGCTGGGTTGGGCTGGGGAAGAAAAAAAACCTACTGCGGCAGTTCGGGCTGTTTTGGGCTGGCCCAGGCTGGGGCGCTGGGGGCTGGGCTGGGGAAAGGAAAAAACCTAACTGCGGCAGTTAGGGCTGTTTTGGGCTGGCCCAAGCTCCAGGCTGGGGCGCTGGGGGCCGGGCTGGGCTGGGGTGGGGAAGGAACTGCGGCAGTTGGGGCTGTTTTGGGCTGGCCCGGGCTGGGGCGCTGGGGGCTGGGCTGGGCTGGAAACTGGGCTGGGAAGGAAAAAGAACATAACTGCGAAACCCTGCACGCCCACCAAGAAGCTTCCTTCTTGGTCATTGGGCCACGCGGTCAATGAACAAGAATCCCCCTCATATAACCCGCACATTGGAATACTACTGACCGTTTAAAACCCTAACTGCGGCAGTTAGGGTGTTTTTCTAAACCCTTTTGCATCCGGGCTTGTGAAGTCGGCGAGGAAGGTTAGAAACCCTAAAACAGAAACTCAATTTCTCTTCGTGCGTGTGTGTGCGTGTGTGTGTGTGTGTGTGTGCGTGTAGCACGTGTGTATAAGGTACTTACATACATTTAAGCATGCGGAGATTTAAACAAATATTTTATACTACCTCCGTGGCTCGTGGCCCGAGCCCGCCCTCCACATGTTTAAAAGCGGTCGTAGTACTACTACTACTACTACTACTACTACTACTACTACAACTACTACCATCACTACTACTACCACAACAACAACTACCACTACTAGTCTCTACTACTTCACTGCCCTTATTGGCCTTATTGCACAGCTCGGACCACGCCGCAGAACTCATGACTGCGACGCGAGCATGGCTAGTTAGTGCTACTGCTACTTCTACTGCTACGACGACGGCGACTACTACTACTTCTACTTCTACGACTACAGTACGACTTGGACTACGACTACGACTACTGGCGCCTGCCGCTGCCTCTGCCGCTACAACTGCCACTCCCTCTCCCACTCCCATTCCCACTGCCGCCACCACCACCCGCCAGCACTATTGCATTACTCTCACCACTACTTGTTGGGTGACACATGCCGGGTCATGCCAGCTCTCAGGGTCTGGTGCTTGTTGTCTCGGACATCCGCCCTACTAATCAGCTCGCACTCTTTCTCTTTCGAATCCGTCCCCATCTATGGTGAAATGCCCTATTTCGGGGATTAATCGAATGGCGAGTGGCAAACGGTGGCATGGCCAATATGTGCACTGTGGCTTCGTATCTGATGACGCCGGCCGGTGCCGATGAAGATCCGGAGTAGCGCATAGGACCCTGCAGTGAGTTTCCCGTCAAAAGGCAAATCACACCCCATGCATGCCTTGGCAATTGTGGGTTGCAGCAATGACGCAAATTAACAAGCTTAGGATGCTCTACTCTCGCCAAAGCCGGCGAATGCACCCAGCCTTCACTGTACCGGCTTTCCAATCGACACGTGGTACTCAAGCAAAACAATGACCGTGCAACAGACGACATTAAGTAATCTTACAGCGGCCAATAGCTTGACTGCCTCGTCAGTCCAATGAATGAGATGGTGCTATGTATATACCTTTTATAACATGAGTGAGAGAAACGACGAGAATGAGAGCAAGCGAGCGAGCAGGAAAAGAAGCGAGAGAAGGAGAGAGGTGAGCGAAGCAATGAAACATGAGATCTGAGAGTGAGACACAGATGCAGGGAGAACAGAGAAGAGCGAGACACGAGAGCAAGACAGAGCGGCGAGGGAGAGACAGGGAGAGGAGGGCAAGGAGAGACAGAGAGTCAGTGTATGCGTGTAACTCAGATTTTGTGAATAGGTCAGGCCGAAATTGGCAGGGGAGCCCTGTACAGCTTTACGTTCAGAATGGCACGTCACCTAAAGTGGCAGCAACATCTCTAGGCCAAAGAAGTAAGAAGGATAACAAAACTCAAAGAAGCAAAACAGCGGTCTCTGCCACACGGCCTGCATCTTTGACAGCAGTCGAAAGAAGTCGAAACAAAGTCCTCCGGGCACAGTCCGGATCACGAGTCACTCCGAGTGGGACAGACTCATAGCCCCATCGATGGTTAGAAGCTCTGTGCCCCTTGCATGCACCGGGAACTGCTTCAGTTGAGGCGTGAACGGGGCCCTTGATGCAAAGGTATAACAGTACGAGATGAAACTCGTTGTGGTCAGAGAACGGCTTCGACCGTGGATCTTGAAACCATTCGGTCATGAGCATCTGCGTCCTCGAAGGTTTGCCCTGGCCAGCGGTACGGGTGGCGGAGTTCCCGCGCCAATGAAGTCGAGCACACACCTGCCAGGTTCGTTCTTTTTCAAACTGGGCTGTCTCTTCAAGCTCATGTGTCTGTCAGAACGTGCAACACACTGGGTCAGCGAAGACTCTCAACGCATCCTTCTGTCACATCGACAAGGCTCGGAATCCAGAACGCCAGACTCCTCCTCCTTTGGGATTGCAATTTATACAAACATGTCCTCGGTGATAAAACGGTGATCAATATTTCTGAAGGTGATCGTTCATACTGTATGAGGCGTACGGGCAAAAGCGCGACCGACCTTCACTTGACCCCGAATCCAATGCTAAAGTCTTCCGAAGTTTGGGGCCTCTCGTTGCCGAAGTGGCGCACCGTGGCCGTGGCAAAGCGCCACATAGTTGCGACGGACAGCTCCTAATAGCAAGGTAATGCTCGAAATAACAAAGAAGAAGCACTGTCTAGTCTCAGCCACAACCTGAGGACTGCAAAACGGAGCAGTCACAACCTCAACATGACAATCAACAGCAATAACAGTGCTTTAACTGAGCATGCTGTTTTGCGAATGCACCGTCGACACGATCGCACACCAAGGTTTAGCTTGTGCAGGAACTCAAGGTCGTCAAAATGGAAGGCGCTACTCTGCGCTGAAGTAACTACATAGACCCTGAAAGCTCTAAGACCTCCGATCCCACAACAAATTCCCTTCATGCCGGGAACAGCCAGTACAAGCACCTTAGTCCAAGGCTCCCGATCGAAGCTGAACTTGAAGGTCAAAATAGGCCTCGTAGCTGCAGGCCACGACCTCGTGAAGACATGGATCCAGGATTACTGTCACTTGTACCACTTCTACTATTTTGCTTATGTTCTCTCTATTACTATTATAAAAGTACTTGCATTACCAATCATTGTAATTGTAACTATGATGATGCTGATGATGATGATGATGATGATGGCGGTTTTCGCTGAAGTCCACTACATCGCAAGTGTACCCCCCCACTGTAAAACGATGAAATCCTGTAACCTTGGGAAGGAACCCTTGTTGGGGGCACACCCGGACTTCCTGTCTGTCCAAAAAGCCTTTGCGCTTTCTTGCAAACCCGGCGAAAGTGCAGCAAAGGGGCTATCAGCCCTGAGCTGGGCACATCCAACCGGTGAAGGAAGCCATGATCCATGTCTTCCTATGTTCATGGATAGTGGGTGAGCAGGGTGACGCTTCAGGTTCGTCGTAAGAGCTATTACCATTACCATCAGAAACACCACGGACCCTGCCACCGCTAGCGCAACAAGCTAGGTTTGCTCAAGAGCCATGATGTGCATGTCAAGATGCATCTTCACGGATTGGCAGTGGGGCGCCTTCCGTCACTCGAAGCCATGCGAGCAACTGGTGCGGGGCTCCTCGTTCCAAGGCCCTGCAACCTACCTTTTAGGGTTCAGGGCTTGTAGATTTTCGTGATTGACTTGACCACCACACCACCATCAGACAGCGCGACGGTGCGATCATTGCGCCCTTATATTTGAACTCCAAGGGGAAACAAGGCACAAGGCACTGGGACACTGG